ATTTTAGCTGAGGGAGGGGCGCAAAGCAAAATTTGGAGTAACTGAGATCAGAGACTCTAGTTAACAGAGATGTGAATTCGAATCGCAACTTTGTCATTTACTCTTTGAGCTCGGAAAAGTTATTAAAGTTAATCTTTAATTCTCTCCTTTGCGAAGATCAAATGTCAGCACTCACCTCATGCAGTTGTTCTGGAGAACTGAGACTGTGTTCAGCGAGCTAAGCATGTGGCACATAGTAGCTGCTCAGTTAAACAGCAGCCATTATAACTACTGCTTCTCTATACCAAGGGGCAGCTCATTACAGTTGACCCTTGAACAATGAGAATTTGGACTGTGTGAGTCCACTTAGAAGCACCTTTTTTTTTTTTCTTTCTCAGTAAATACAGTCGGCCCTTCCCCTTCATATCGAAGGTTTACCTGTGGGTTTCGCATCCCCAGATTCAACTAACAGGACCAAAACAGTGTTTTCTAATGCCCGATTACAGATTCCCAAGCGCTGATTCAAAATACTGGTTTTGATCTGGTTGGTTGAATCAGCTATAGTCAAAGGTAGGAGGATGTTCGACTGCACGTGGGTGGGGGACCCTACCCCTATCTTGTTCATGTTTAGACATTAAACGCTGATGCCTCCAAAGGACCTTGGAGCACCAACCCAATCAGCTTCTTACCCTGTCAGGACGGAGCCTGGGCCTGCCCCGTGACTGCACACTCTCACAGTTTAAAATTTCACCGTCCTTCTGGCCAGCTGTGAGGTGCAAAACTCCTGCCTCCCCTCAGCCTCAGCCTGCTGAAAAAAAGCAGCCAGATCAGGTTCTTCGGGTTGGTTTCCCTTTCCCGCCAGCTGTCGGCTCTGAAAAAAGGGAGCTGGGCAGAAGATGGGCGTGTCCTCTACACGCGCAGTCAGGCTGCATTTGTGTCTTTTACCCAGGAGGCTTTTCCCCGTGGGTGACCCATGTCTTCACCGTACTTGCCTCCCCTGACACATAAAAGCCTCAGAGGTCTCCCTTAGAGACAGACAATCGTAGCAAGAGTTCGTGAAAAAGGAAGCAGTGGCCAAAATCACCGGTGAACTAGAGATAAGATAGTATAATAAATGAACACAACAGACCAAATCCTGGAGAACTGAGGGCATGGCAAAGAGGGGGACGTTGTGTAGAAAGCCAGAGGCCCTTTTCTCCATTCAGAGTGCGTGTTTCTTGGTAGAAACTAGCTTTCCCTTCAGGACAGCTGGCTAGAAAGTCCAGCGACAGTGAGGCGGTTACCAAGAGACTGTTGTTAACCTGACCATTATGGGAACCCCCTCCTACCCGCTTCAATCCCCCCAATCTCACAAGCATGTGTGGTAGCACAGGTGAGGACGTCTTCGGATCCCTGCCAGAGACTAGCACGTGTCCTCTCCTTCCTGATGGACACTGCCATGGAGGTCCAACACTGCTGGCCCCGAGGCAGCGTGCAGAGCTTGTGGAGCACCATAACAACATCGAGACCTATAGCAGCAGCAGCCTCCCCCTTCCTGAGAGCTGGCGTAGCGTCCCCCGGTTACCCTCTCCCTAAGCCTGGACGAGGTCTGACAACCCCGTTTGAGATGAAGGACCTGCAGTCCCCGAGGTTAAGTAGCTTTTCCAGAGCTGCGGCCGGGCCTGGGACGAAAACCTGTGTTCAGGATTCCGAGGGCTGTCATGCTGACTCAGCAAGTTCAACCCCAAAGGCTGCTTCCCGTCCTTCCATTATTTCACTGTGCAGCCTTCTTCTCGTGACTATTTTTAACACTTAATGCAGCTCCTTGCAAAGGGCTTAGTGGTGGTCTTTGTGTTGGTAATTGTTCAAGCTGAAGGACAGGTGTGCTAGCAAGGGGGTCCATTTTGTAATTCTATGTAATTCCACTTTTGCATGTTTTTTTTATTATCCACAATCAGGTGTTGGGGTTAACTTTTTTAATTGGCTCTTTGGAGAGCTGGGCGAAGTGAGATTTCAGCTGTGGACTCCGCGGAGGTGCTGTATCCCTCATCGCCTCCCATGACTCAGGGGCCCAGCGCTGGCCTGCAGGCTCTGTGCAGGCTCCTGTGTCCTGGCAGGGTGCCAGCCACCTTTACCAGGTTGGAACTGGCTGCTCAGAGAGCCTTTCTGACAGAGAAGGAATGTTTCCCAGCCTCCGCCCCATCCGTGAGGCTCACACCTCTCAGGTGCGGTCCATTTCACGGGAGAGGCTGTGGGAGCGACTCCACCCGCGCCCTCACCTGGGACGTCTAACCGGGAACCTTCCAGACAGATTGGGCTGCCCAGACCCTTTCTCCAAACTTCCCAGAGAAAACAAAACATCCGGGGAAATGCTAGTTCTAGTTTTCTTACCGGTCCCTCTTTTCTTCATCAGCGATGTTCATTCTTTTACCCTAAATTCTGGCGATTTTATCCACTTGGATGTAATTTCCTGGCTAAAATGCGGAAGTAAGGGGCTATGGGAGAAGTAGGTGAACAGGTCCTACGAATCTTTCTTGCTTTTACCTGTCCCTTCTACAAGACAAACAGGCAGTGCCCCCAGCCCTCCCCTTCCTGGTAGGAGAGGCAGACTGGGGGTGGCGCTCCACCGTGAGGTATCACATACCCTAGGAAAGGTCCAGGGGCTTGGCTCTGGCCCACAGGCAAAGGTATGCCTTCACATCATTAAGTTTTCCTTATAACAAGGAGCAAGGACTCCTGGGAAGAGCTGGGATGCTCCCCAAGAGCCTGACAGGTTGGTGCCATTGCCATGGTGAAGCCGAAAGTCTGGCCCCAGCTCCCTGGAGGGAAAGAGCACTGCAGTGCCACCTGGAACAAACCCTCTAAAGTAGTTTCTCCCTCTCCAGGAGGGGGACCAAATCTCAAAAACTGAAAGCAAGACACAAAACAAAACCCCAGGTGAGTGTCAAGCACAGAAGACAGGCCCCAAGGAAACAATCAGATGCTTCAAGTTTCCTAGGAAAATGTATGCACACCTCTCATCCACTAAGACCATCACAGACTGATTAGTAAAGTGTGGGCTTTATACGAAAAACAAACAAAACCACTATGGAAGTTCTATTTGTTTTTCAGAGTCCAGACAGCTCCTTAAATAAGAGCAATGCGCTTATGTAGCAGCCCATGAGTTAGTGGCATCATCTTCATAAAACAAAACAGAGTAGGCCAAAATCTTAAAATGGAGAAAAGAAGATGGGTGCCCAGATTAGGGAACAAGGTGTAAAACTGACAAGCCAGAAACCACTTAGGTGCCATGTACTTTCAACTCGATAAGTAGCTTTCAAATATACACATATATACAAACAACCTGAAAAGCAAAGTGAATTCAGCAAGTAGATGCGCAGAAGTAAAAGAAGGTGTCATATCTGGTTGATTGAAAGCAGGTTTCTAAGGCGCCCAGTTGGCCAGATGCCTCAACCCAGTCAGGAGGCAGAGCTGAGGGCGGTGCTGTGCTCTGCCCCGGGTGGGAGAAGGAGCAGTGAATGTGAGTCCCATGGCAGTGGGTTAGATGTGTAATGGAAGGCAGCACCCTGTCAAAAAACAAAAAAAAACAAAACACACACACACACACACAAAAAAAAACACAAAAAACTGGGCCACCTGCTCTCATTTGAATATGCAAAGTGATAATTAATTTTAAAAAAATATATGACTAATGTCCAGGGTGACTTTATTTCATGGAGAGAAAAAAACACCAACACGATTTTCCTAGACACCACACAGCGACTGGCACTTTTCATTCCTCTTTTTATCACATCATACCAAGAGAAGAAAAAAAAAAAAAAAAAAAAGTCAAATCAGTGGAAACATACCAAAATATACCCCACACTACTTAAATTAGCACAATTAAAATTAAAACATGAAGCAATATTTTGTTACACTTTGATTCAACCTCTATTTACAAATTGCACTTTTAAAGATAGCAACATTTCATAATACGGTATAGTAGGTTATTTTGCTTTATTGTTGTTGTTTTTTTTATATCTTGATATAAAACTTTGAAAGTTTTCTTGAGTAAAATCATCCTTTCTTCCTCAGTACATAATTTATTCACCCATGAATTTCAAAACCGGTTTTCTCTTTTCGTGCTTGCCTCTTCTATTCTATTTTACAAATGGCACATACCTTCCGAGTAGGAACAATCAGACACTCTGCTCATTTGTATGAGGCTCATTTATAAAAAGTTAAAGAAGTGAAATATTAGCAGCCTAATCCTTTGGTTTCTCTTTTAAAAAAAAAAAATCATCCAATATAATCTACAAACCAGTGGTAACTTCTTTTTGGTTAAGAACAAATCCCCAGGTAGGTCATCATTAGAAGCCAAGGCTGCTGAGGAACGTGCCGCGTCCCTGGCCCGCCGCTCCGCCCGGGCTGCGCTGCGCACGACTGGTTGGACATGACACAGGACATAGTAAGGCACAGTGGATGGTACAAATAAAAGCAAATACTTCAGGACTGTGTGTGAGTTTTCCGCACAAATACTAAAATATGTACCGTTTTTTTTTCAAGATAAAAATAACAAAAAAGAAATACATATTTTTTTTGTTACGAAATACCTATACAAAATGTTTAAATTTACACCATCTGAGCTGCCAAAAAGGTTTAAAAAAGTATCGATTTTCCATCACACATAAAACTCTCTCTCACCAACAGGTCCCAGAGAACTCGGGTTACAATGTCCCAGCGCGTCGTGGAGGGAGGAGGATCAATGTTCCCTTCTTGCTCTCCCTTACCCCAACATAAGACAAAAACAAAGGTCAGATGTTGACAGGAGTGTATTCTACTTGTACACACAGCTGGAGTGTAGGGAAAGAAACAGTCACGCTGGGAGACCACTGGCTGGCGGGTTGGAGTAAGGCACTTCCTTGGAGAAAGCAGGGTCCGAAGGCGAGGTGGGGAGACGTGGGGAGCCCGTGCGCGGGGTTCTGGTGGAGACTGAGGGCTGCAGGAGGCTCCTCCAAAGACAGCAGGGGAAGACGCAGGAGGTAAAACCTCGAGGCAAAGTTCTACACAGAAGTGGTCACTCGGTCAACAGCATGATTGACCTCGTTCTTGTTGGAATCCAGTCCCTTAGCAGCATTCATGTCGTTCCGCAAGTTCTCCACTGTCTTTTTCATATTCTTTAGCTCCCCTGGGTGTGGCGTGGCCCGCCTCTGAAGTGTTCTCTGAAAACAGACAGTGGAGTGAGTGTTTCAGTTTCATCCTGTGTCTCTCTCAGACAGGCAGCTCCGGCGGCAGACTCCAACACAAAGCCTGCCTCCTGCAGACAAGGAGCCGAGCTCCGAGCACTTACCAGGGCTTCCTGGTGGTTAATGGGCAAGGACAGGGTGGCATGTAACTTATCTAGCCAAGAGAGAGGATTACTTTTGGAATAAAAGAATACGCTTTAAAATAGGACATTACTGCGTAACAATAAAGTCCCATGAACTGTGAGAGAAAAACATAAAAGATTTATAAGATGTAATTGTGGGGTGTGAAGGGGGAAAAAGATGAAGGGGTAAAGAGTTCTGAATTAACATCCCTATAATGTTCTGTTCCTCAGAGTGGCTCTGGCTTCCTCCAACCCTGGAGGCGCGGGAATTGAAGAAAAGGGAGAGCAAAGAAAAGGGCACTTTTCTTATCCTGCTGTGTGCTGTGCACATGCCCCCCTGAGGAGAGGTCACTCTCTCCTCATTAAGACCACGGAGTTAGAAGCAAAGTCAAAGGGTGGGGGCAATGCTTTAAAATTCTATTATTGCACAGGCTACGTGCTCTTCAGTTCATAAAAGGACATTCACATCTTTTAAATGGTCCGTCCCTGCGCTCAGGAGGAGCTGAACGTAGGCTAATAGCACGTGAGCGCTACAGAAGCAAGGAGGATCCTGGTGAGAGAATCACCCTCAGGAAAGAGCCACTCACGGTGAGGTATTGTCATGCCTAAGTCCTGTTTTGCACCCGAAGCTGTAAGTGGAGAAAATCCCCTTTGGTGACAGCTGGAATAACAGAGACTAACATATAATAATTTAAAAGCCACCCCTGGTTTGGGGGCTGCGAGTACTCCCGCAAAGCTCTGCTTATGAAAATCTAAATGAGCGAGGAGTTTAAGAGCCAAAGTCAACATGTAGGAAGAGATGTCGCTGAATTCCGGAGGCGGCTGAGACGTACTCAGGTGTGGATGAAAGTGAGGCTGAGAGGCACTTTCACATCTATTCCTGATTTCTGATTGAAAACTCATTAAGTAATCCAACTAAGGCCACAGGTGAAGCGCAGAACGGGAACGAGGGAGGGAGGGAGAGGGAGGGAAAAGGAGAGGGAGAGAAGTAAGGGGAGGGGGAGGGAGAGAGGGAGAGAGAGAGAATCCAGCACAACTGAACTTGAACTGCAACACAGCAGGAAGTATGGATGCAGCCAGCATGATACTGTAATGCCTGGGAGTGTAAGAAGGGACTTAATTCAGTGGGAATAATAACAAAAAAATCAATTTTAAGAAAACAGTGGAAGTGGGAGAGGAAACTATCTTACCTAATAAAATAGTAATATGTAAATTAACCATCACTCTGCTGTATCCACAAGCCACGCCCACCAGCCAATCAGAGCAAGTATGCAAATAAACCCAACTAAGATGGCTGCTGCCACAGAGAGCTGGAGGGAGGCTTGGGTTTCTCTGGCAACGGAAGAAGCAAAGCTTTCTGCCTGCCCTAGCCGGCCTAAGCCTCCACTCAAGGCTACAAAGTTTCAATTATAGAAGGTAAACAAATCCAAACAGAAATGGCAGCAGCCACGGAGCAAGCAGGTTTGGCTCCACTCCAGGCTATAAAGTTTCAATTGTAGAAAATAAATAGATTCCAAATACCAGGACCTATGCTTGGGTAGCCAGGGGCTGTGGCTGGCCTTTAAACCACCACAGGCCCCTTGCCCAGGTCACCCCATACCCCAAGGGAACCCCCACCCTGATCTGGGACACCCTTCAGGGCAAACCAGCTGGCCCCCACCTGTGCACCAGGCCTCTATCCTATCTAATAAAAGAGTAATATGCAGATTGAGCATCATTCCAACACACAATATGGCTGCCCCAATGTGGTCAAAGATCCTGCCCCTATGTGGACACAAGATGGTAACCACAAGATGGCCAGTAGTTAGGAGGGATCAGGCCTACAAGGCAGGGCAGTTGTGGGTGATCAGGCAAGCAAGGAAGGGCAGTTGAGAGGAACCAGGTCTGCAAGGAGGGCAGTTGGTGGAGATCAAGCCTGCAGGGAAGGGCAGTATCAAGGCTGCAGGGAAGGGCAGTTAGGGGTGACCAGACCGGCAGAGGAGGGAAGTTGGGGGCAAACAGGCTGGCAGGGGAGCAGTTAGACATCAATCAGATTGGCATGGGAGTGGTTAGGGGGTGATCAGGCTGGCAGGCAGAAGCAGTTAGGGGCAATCAGGAAGGCAGGTGGGCAAGCAGTTGGGAGCCAGAAGTCCTGGATTGTGAGAGGGATGTCGGACTGCCAGTGGGATCGGGCCTAAATGGGCAGTCAGACATCTCTTGAGGGGACCCAGATTGGAAAGGGTGCAGGTTGGGCTCAGGGACAACCCACCTCCCCACCCCATGCCAAATTTTGTGTGCCAGGCCACTAGTCTAAATATATAAAAGGGCAGTGACCATAATGGCTGAAGGCTTGACCTAACACTGGAAGTCAGTCCTGCAGTCAGTGCTGGGTTGCCAAAGGGGCTGCAAATCAGGCCCAGAGAGAGGTCTGGAGAGAGAAGCAGGGTCTGATCTGTAGCCCCCATGGCAGCTGTTGATCAGCTCTTGCCTCTCTCTTTCTCTCTGGGTCTTGCTAGCAGTGCACCTCTGTTTCTCTCTGGGCCTCCATGGGGGCTGCTGATCAGTGCCACTCTGATCAGGCCCAGAGAAAGGCCCAGAGATGCTGCCTGGCATAGAAACCAAATCTGGGTGAACTGTGAGGAGACAATGGCTGCCTAAGAGGTGGAGCTTTTGATGCTGACTGGCATAGAAACCGACCAATCAGAACATAATCTGGGTGAACTATGAAGGCAGAACCTAACGTAGGGGCTGAGGAGGGGTTTTATGGCAGCTGGGGTGAGATCAGGCTGGCAGGGGAGAGCAGTTAGGGGTGAGATCAGGCCAGCAGGGAGGATAGATAGGGGTGATCAGGCAGGCAGGCAGAAGCAGTTAGGGGTGATAAGGTAGGCAGGAAGAGGGATTAGGGGGAATCAGGCAGGTAGAGATAGTTAGGGGCAATCAGGCAGGCAGGCAGGCAGGTGAGCAGTTAGGAGCCAGCAGTCTCAGATTGTGAGAGGGATGTCCAAGGGGTCCCTTATTGGAGAGGGTGCAGGCTGGATTGAGGGGAACACCCTTCCCCAAAGCACAAATTTTGTGCACCAGGCCAGAAGTCACAAATAAAAAAAAAATAAGCACCATAAACTATTAATATTCAAACAAAAAGACCCAAATGTTCCATTGTCCTTGCACATACTTGGTGAAATTGTACCTAGAATACCTAGTTCTGTCCTCTAAAAATTCTAAAATTCTAAAGGCAAAACAGAAAACACACTAGTTGAAAATACACAAAATCCTTATCAGGTGTCATTATTAATCTTGGAAGGCTTTTAGATTCCGAACTTCAATTGAGGCCAAGAATCTCCATTTCCATACCATTTCATTGTCTTCTTCATCTTTTTCATCTTCCAAAAATCGGATTGCACTGATTCTGTGTACTGCCCGCTCGTTCCAGGCCTCGTCGGAGACGTCATTCACCAAGCTCTCCAGGGCCCCACAGCGAGGCAGGTTCTCTGTCACGACAAAGGCACATCAGCGGGGAGCTCGGGGTCGGTGACTAGACACTGCTAGGCAGTAATGTAAAACATTAAAAACAAAAGAAAAAGGCACTGGCCCTTGTGGCTCAGTTGGTTCAGCATTATCCTGTGCACTGAAGGACCTCGGGTTCGACTCCTGGTCAGGGCACATACCAGCTTGCAAGTTCGATCCCTGATCTGGCGCACATATGGGAGCAACTGATGGATGTGTGTCTCTCTCCCTCTCCCTCTGTCCCTCTCTAAATCAGTAAAATCATATCCTTGGGTGAGGAGTAAAAAGAAAAAGCCTGGGACAGAGTTGCTCTCTTTTCAATGACGCATAACACTAACTTCAAAAACGTTCTCATGAGAGTACTGTGGCTGCACGTGTTGGGGGCTAGTACCTGCTGCAATAACACATTCTACAACGTTTTCCCTTGGGGCCTTCAAAGCTCTTCTGACAAGGGTGGGGGCTGGCAAGTGGCTTTGGGCCCTTCCACTTAGGGGACTCCTGCCTCCCAGAGTACTCCAGTTTCCCTCCATCAAAATCAGCGCTCAGCAAAGGATTTATAACAGCAATATGATGTTAGTGTGAATATTTTTTAAAACTACTACACATATTTACAAAACAAAGGTACAATGATCCAAAACAACTCACTGGCTTAAAAAACAGTTTGCCAACTGAGGTCAATACTCATCCTCCAAACCTTCCTTTTGGATTTTAAGCAAGTGCTACCTTTTTTAGGAGTATCTGTGTTTTCCTCCTAAGCGAACATTCAAAACCAAGAGTGTTTAAGGAATTTCAGCCTAAACAGGTGTGAGTGGTACTTTGTCTGCAAAGATGCAGGGGACCCTCCAGGAGGAGGCCCGCAGGGACCTCGCCTGGGCCAGCTCTAAGGGACGGAACTGGACAAAAATAGAGTCACATGTGAATGTGAGGGATCTTATGGGGAGATACTAACTCCTACTAATTCTTGTGGCCAAACGAATACAGTCCTTAAATTCACCTTGGCAAGTAGGTTCAGAAGGCAGCTGAGGAAGTAAGACACAGGTTAAAATCTTCTCTCCTGTGGTGAGGTCTGTGTCCGTCTGGAATGTGAGCAGAGGCTGGGACTGGTTGTCAGATAACCACAAAGCCTTCAACTTCAAGGCCGTCAGAGACAAGGGCAGATGTGACAACCTAATACAGTATAAAACAAAAGAAGACGTCAGGTCTCAAGTGGTATCATCCAATCAATTCCTGTCAATAAAAACCGGGGGGGGGGGGGGATGAAAACACCTCCTGGGGCAGGGTTCAATTTTTAAAATACGTTGTGTTGATAGTAAGATACCTGATTTATGTTTTGCAGGTAGATGGAATAGGTAACTGTGCTTCCCTTTCTGCCATCACCTATCTCATCAGCTCCGCCAGACCATAGGGCAGGAAATGAGAAAATTACGGGGCACATAATTCAGTCCTGCACTAGGAGGTCCGACTTAAAGAGAAAACCAAAGCCAGAGTAACTGCAGCAGCTGAGTTCTCACACAGAATGGCAACACCTTCTCGACGGGGCTGGTGGGATTACCTGTTTCTAGCAGCCCCTGGCAAATCAGGGCAGGAGGAAGGAGATGTGTGGGGTGCTGAAGAAGTTGTTAAATTTTTTTTTTTCATGGATTCCATCTGCTTTCTCTAGGGAGATTAAGTGTTCCATCCTAAACTTTATCTTTCAGTTTCTAAAAGCTCCCACTTCTCCGATGCCTACGTGATAATTACTATCCACATCAGATTGCTTCCATTTCAAATGAGATCATATATATAAAGCAAAGCACTTTTAAAATTATAATGTCACACCTAAAGATTAGATTCCTGTTTATATTTACACAAATATTTCACAGCTTGGCTGCAAGCAGTTAGATCTATTCAGTAAAGATCACCACGGAAACCAGGACTTGGTACCTCCAGAGGACAGCCCAGTGTTTCTCAACCAGGCGGGACTTTGCCCTTTAGGGGGCATCCGATCTTGTCTGTAGACATTTGGGTGGTGCTATGGAATCTAGTGGGTCGAGGCTGGGGTTGTTGCTATAACAGCCCCCATAACAAAGAATTATCTGGCCCCAACTGCTAACAGTGCCGAGGGTGAAAATGCTGCTTAGTAAAAACTAATGCTTTATACAAGTTACTAATTCACATTGCAAAACAACCAAAACCATGTTGATACCAAAAATTCATGGTTTAAAGAACCTAAGGATATATTTGATCGAGTATTATCCCACTAAGTATGACTCCAAATATTAAATTTGTGGACCAGTCTTAGAAGTGACTGTTTAAGCTAATCACATTCTGTTTACTACTACCTGAGGCAAATTTTCTTAGAAGAGACATCAAGCCCATTAATCCCATAAAGAATGGCAGAACAGCATGGTGTTCTTTCTTTTATAAGATTGTACACCTACCCCCCAGTTAATATATGAGAAAGATCAACCTGTAGATCTTGTCAACAGATTAATACTGAATTATTAGACAATAATTACCAGGCAATCCTTGTTTTACTGTGTTTTTGCTTTATTGCACTTTATAGATGTGTGTTTTGAAGGCAAGACCCCCCCCCAGCAGCAAAAAGATTACATTCACTTCATTGCAGCATTTGTGTTATTGAGAGGGTCTGGAACCGAACCCACAACTATCTCTGAGGTCTGCCTGTATACCAGTCTGAACTGACAGACTTGTGGGAAATAAACCTGAACTTTTTGCAGAGCTATGAAGAGAAGGTATACTCCAATAATATAAAACTAGTAAGGAAAATATAATCTAAGGAAAATGTTAAACTGGTTAAGCTACTATAACAAGTGAAGTAAAAAAAAAAAATCAAAGAGTGAATAGAGAATATTAACAAATACATTACCAACAAATTTTTCATGAGAACAATTAATATGTTTTGCAAAGATTTCCAACGTAAGAGTTGTGGAGAAGCGACAGTATTTTCCTAACGTGAGTCCATGAAGACAGATGCCTCCCTCGGTACGTGTACTGGGTGGGAAGCGCAGTGGAATTGTATCTATATGGGACTTAGGTTCAGAAATCAATGCATCCATGAGAACTGTATATGTTAAGTACCCTTTGAAAATGCTCTATGTATCACACACTGCAATATTTCACTAGTGAGCGCCATGAGAAATACGGGTTTCTAAATCTCAGAATCTACTCAGTGCAGTGAAATACATGCTCAGACCATGAGGAAGATGGCCAGCAGATGCCTGGCTCCACGTCTCCTGTTCTGAAGTACTGCTTCCCGAGGGGAATAGAAAGTGAAATCGCTCATGCTTATACAACTTATTTCTCCCTCTGCCCTAAGGCTGTCATGTGTTTAAAAGCAAGGAAGTTAAGAGACAGAAGACATGTATTTGCCAGGCACTGTGACAGTGATTTTTTAAAATACCCTAATATACTATGAAAGCTTAAAGTACATTAGACTTTTTCATTTTATTGAACAAAAGGATCCTTTCTTCGAAAGTCTGTTCTTATTTCTTTTTTAAAAGAACTTAATCTAATATCCTTTAGAATGTTCAAAGTTTCAAGTGTTGGGCAAGAAATCTATAGTCAGCATCTCTACCTTTCTTAATCATGAGAACATGAAGAAAAAAAAAATCAAGACACAAAACACAGGTAACTCAAACTAACAACTGGCTTCTGACTAACAACTGGCTTCCTAGCAAATGCTGAAGCACGGGTATAGGTAAAGGGCCAGGCAGAGCATCGATAATAAAAAGCAGCTTCTACAGATGACAAAATCACATGGTAAAAGCTAAAACAGGTCACTGGACCCTACAATACATCTCATAATCACATTCAACAAGCTGCATGAGATTAATTTGTTGTCTGAAATGCCAGTTTTCCTGCAAAGAATCTAAGTGCCAGCTTGAACATGCCCGTTGCCCACAAACACACGAGCCTGTTCACAGTGTCTGGCAGACAGAGGTGCTCCTGTGATGTCAAAGAGAAAAGAAGCCCTGTGTCCTGCCCGTCTGCACACATACTGGGCTGAGCTGACCCTCTCACTGACTCTGTGGCCTGGGGGGAAAGAGATACATAGGCCTCTGTTTCTCTTGGGTGAACCATCCCAGACACAAGTGGAAAATAGATAAATAGATGTTATATATCCTGGCTTTCCAGACGAGTTAATAATACATTTTTGGTTTATTCTGGTAGCTTCTGTACACTGCAGAATCAACACAAGAAACCATAGCTCCACTGTACACTGTTCTATTTAGGACCACATATTCCCCACCCCAGAATAAAAGGCCAATACTTACTACTGACATCAATGGTACAAGGGTGAAAGCAAATTAATAAGTAAACCATGAGTCTCTCATTTCTAGTACATCCATGACCAACCCAACCTGAAGCAACTTCTACAGCAATTGCTTGTTAAACTTATTTAAGAACTAAACATTAAACACTCTACTGATGAATGTAACATTAAGTTCCCTGGTGGATGCACACTTCTTACAATTAAATGTTTAATCTGTTTGTTACCTCCTACTAGAACTTTTAGTTTTAAGCAAAGTTTTCAATAATGTTTAAAGATATACAGAGAGAATATAATCAATGAAAAAAATAAACAATATCAAAATATCTGAAGTGAAAGTCCCTGTAACCCCAAGCCTCCATCCTTCCTCTAGGTAGTATTTCCCAAAGTGTGGTACGCGTACCCCCAGGGGTACGGGAAGAGTTTGGTGGGGGTACGCGTTGCACCAGAGTTTGGTGGGGATATGCACTGCACCGTGCTTAGCTGCGCCTAATTCTACGTTCTCATGAGTACGAGGGGTACTCAGCATTACGAAAATTATAGGAGGGGTACACATATGTCAAAAGTTTGGGGAACACTGCTAGGGGAACTACTATTAATATTTTGGTGTACCACAATAGTAAGGAGGTAAGTTTTCTTAAAAACATGAACAAAAATGATAATACTCTGTATACTTGCTCTACTAATCAGAATCTGTGTTTCCTGTGTCACTACAGAGAAATATCTCATTCTTAGAACTGCTTAGTATTTTGTAACATAGCTATACTGTTTTATTGTGTTTTGTCTTTTAATACTTTTCTTTTTTCCAGCTTTATTGAGATATAATTGACATACAACATTGTGTAAGTTTAAGGTGTATAACATGATGACTTGATACATTTAAAAATTGTGAAATGATTACCACAGAAGACTTAATTAACATGACCATTACTTAACATAATTACCATTGTGTGTGTGTGTGTTAAAAACACTTAAGATCTACTCTCTTAGCAATTTTCACGTACATAATACAATACTGTTAACCTACAGTCACCATGCTATACATTAGATCCCCAGAACTTAGTCATCTTAAAGTGAGTACCTTTAACCAACATCTCCCATTTCTCTCCCTACCCCCTACCCCCAGTCCCTGACAACCACATTCCACTCTTCATTTCAATGAATTCAACTTTTTTAGATTCTACATGTGAGATCATACAATATTTGTCTTCCTTCATCTAACTTATTTCATGCCCTCAAGGTCCATCCATGTTGTCATAAATGGCAGAATTTCCTTCTTTCTCATAGCTGAATAATATTTCATTAGATGATAGATAGATAGATAGATAGATAGATAGATAGATAGATAGATAGATAGATGATAGATAAATAGATAAATAGATATAGATAGATAGATAGATAGATAGATAGATAGATAGATAGATAGATAGATAGATATCTTCTATTGATAGATTCTTAGCTATATCTTGGCTATTATGAAGAACACTGCAATGAACATGGGAGTCCTGTTTAATACCTTGTTTTCATTTCCTTTGAATACATACCCACAAGTAGGATTGCTGAATTTTATGGTAGTTCTAATTTTAAGTTGTTGAGGAATCTCCATACTGTTTTTTACAGTGGCTGTAACAGTTTACAGTCCCACCAACTGTGCACAAGGTTTCCCTTTTCTCCACATCCTTGTTAATTCTTGTCTTTTTCATAATAGCCATGCTAACAGTTGTGAGGTGATATGTTTTAACTAGAGGCCCAGTGAACAAAATTCGTGCATGGGGGTGAGGGGGAGTGTCCCTCAGCCCAGCCTGCACCCTCTCCAATCTGGGACCCCTCAGGGGATGTCTGACTGCCCATTTAGGCCCAACCCCAGTAGGATTGGGCCTAAACGGGCAGTCGGACATCTCTCTCACAATCCAGGATTGCTGGCTCCCAACTGCTCACCTGCCTGCCTTCCTGGTTGCCTCTAATTGCTTCTGCCTGCCAGCCTGATCACCCCCTAACCACTTTCCTGCCAGCCTGATTGAAGTCTAACTGCTCCCCTGCCAGCCTATTTGCCTCTAACTGCCCTCCCCAACTGCTCTCCCATGCAGGTCTGGGTTACTCCTAACTTCCCTCCTCTGCCAGCCAGGTCACCTCTAACTGCCCTCTCCTGCAGGCTTGATCACCCCCAACTGCCCTCCCTCGCAGGCCTGGTTCCTCCCAACTGCCCTCCCCTGCTGGTCATCTTGTGGTGGCCACCTTGTGTCCACATGGCTTGTGTGTTGGAGTGATGGTCAATTTGCATATTACTCTTTTATTATATAGGATATGTTTATATTAATATTTAAATTTTATTTTTTTGTTTTTTTATTATATATTTTTTATTGATTATGGTATCACATAATTGTCCTCATCCCCCCAATCCCATCCCAAACCCCTCCCTACATATGCCCTCACCCCCCCAACCCCTCACTCCCCCGTTGTCCATGGCCACTGGCCAGGCCCATATGCATGCACACAAGTCCTTTGGTTGATCTCTTCCCCTTACCCCTACCCTCCCCTACTTTCCCTCTGAGGTTTGAAAGTCTGTTTGCTGCTTCTCTTTCTCTGGGTCTGTTTTTGTTCATTAGTCTATGTTGTTCATCATTTCCTCTAGATGTGTGAGATCATGTGATCTAAATTCAAAGGTATAAACTGTTTCCCCATTGAGAGTCATTGTTAGTATTTGGAACTACTAATATTGCAGTGAAGATCCTCAAATACCCAATTTTGTGTGTATGGGGGATAATCCTCTGGGAGGGAATCTAATAAATGTATATCCTATGTCCATGGGTAGCTGATAATACAAAACACCTCCTCTGTGACTGTACAAGAAGGTTTGATGTTTACTTTCCAAGTGCCATTTTATAGTTATCCTTGCTGTGACTTACTGTATCCAATTTATCAAAGAAAGTTTTTGGAAACTAAGATGTAGTCTCCTGTACCATCGCCCTTGCTATTTTTATATGCTTGATTGCAGAGGCAGAAACTGCTCTCACATTTGGTATGATTTCCCATGGTGTGACACTTCTCCAGGCAAAAAAGCTGACGTAGTAATCCTTTTTATTATTAGGTTCTATACTGATACTTTAAAATGAGTAGTAATTAAATATTTTAATAGGCTTAAAATTTGGTTATTAATCTATATATACCTGGACTAAATGACACACTTAAGTGACTCAGATGACAGCTATGTAACTCAACTTTTTAACTGGTTTTTCTCCACCCCAGCCCAAGCATAATAAAAACTCAACTCTCCCTTCTTCCAAGAACTAGAGAATGGAGCCATCACTCATAATGAAAACCAGTTTTTAGACACCAGAGACATCTTTCCACCCAAGAATTAGTGATGCAAATCCATGTTCACCAGCTTGGCAAGAATCAGGGGAGGCTGGGACTCACTGAGCTTACTGCTGGAGGCGAGAGGTGGGGACACCACCCTTCTCAAGCTGTAAATGGCATGTGAGGCTAAGTCCCACAGAAATGCCACATTCAGCTCAAACTAACCCTGAGTTTTCAGTCACCTGTTAGTGGTCTTAAGAATGTCTCAGGATGTCCTGAAAGCATGCACTCTGACAGGGTGAGCACTCCTGGAGGCCAGGCCTCACCCCAGGTTCCCGTGGAAGGCGGGTTACTTAGCATGCCATCTACTATCCATCAGGAGGAATGAATGATGGAGCTGAGCCTGACCTAAGTGACCATTAGCTCAATCCCCCAGACTCAATCCCCTAGACGCTGTGGACCATCTATCTCCCCCTGGTTTAGCACTTCCTCTCCTATCTAACTCTATAATGCTCAAAAGCATTTTTTAATTCCTCTTGGGAGGCAGTGAAACCTGTGATACAAAGCATTTTAGAGTAGCCTGCTCTTCATGCAGCAAAACTAACATGTGTAACACTTTCCCAGGCACCTACCATGTGCCAGGTACTGGGAAGGGACAGAGGATATAGTGACACATAAACCACGACGTCCACCTTCAGGTAACCTTAGGTTTGAAAGGTTCTACAGGTGCAAACAGGCCATGGTCAGTGCTTCGTTAGAAGTAATTAAAAATGCAGATTCAGGGAGAGGAATGCTTTCTGGAGAAAATGAAAGCATCAGTGATGAAGAATAAAAGTAGGGAAATCGAGAAGAGGGTCCCACCTAGACAGAATAGCCTGTGTAGGCTCAGAGGGAAGAAAGTGCGTATGAAATTAGTTCAGACTGGCTAAAACAAATCAATATTCTACAAGGAGAAGAGAAGATACATTCCAGAACCGGTGAGCAGTCTAACCGACCTCCCACCTGGAACCTGAGAAATGCTGCTGCTGTGATCTTGGGGATGCCAGCCTGGTGGCGCTTCCTTTTTAACTTCTGATGCACTTGTTGATTCTGACATTAGTGATGGATCTTCTTCACCAGAAAAGTGTCCCTGAATGCAATCTTGTTTACAGCTTGGGAGAGTTCGGCATCACTGGCAGAGCATCTCAAGACCTCCAATCAAATCTAGTTCAAACGCATTCAGACTCAGAGGAAACTGAGAGGCCCACACTGACTTACAGAAGCTGAGGTGAACCTGCCTCTCCCAGTTCCCGGCACTGCTCCTTCCCTTACTTCACTGCCCTGCTGCTCTGGGAAGCATGTGTACAGCGAGTCCGCTTCCCCTGGGAAGTACTCACGCTCAGGTGTCGCTGACCTTCTCTACTCCATATGGCTCAGTCACTCCAGGACCTAGACCGAAAACTTCCTGGGCCTGGGTCGTTCGATTGATCAGTACATATTCCATCAGACGGAGCAAGGCAAAGACACACAGCAAAGATGCTGGGCAAAGGCGAGGGTGGGTGAACATCTGTTTCCTTCTCTCAAGCAGCGCAAACAGAACACGCTCACCTGTTCCCTGCCACATCCAGGACGTGAAGCTCTGCGGCCTGTGACACCTCAGCGGGGATCCGGGTCAGTCTGTTGTCCCGCATGCAGAACACAGTGAGGCTGCAGCACCCACCGATCTGCAACAGGAGAGAAAATACAACTTGTTTCCAGGTTGTTGTTTTGCTTGTTTGTTTGTGTTTTTTGGGGGGGAAGGGGAGAATGGTGGTGGGCTTATTTATCAAATGGCATGAAAAGGATGCATACAATTATACCACATGATTTGAAGTCTCTAATGACCAACTATGTTTAATTTAAATCATACAAAACAGAATAGTCCAATTGTTCATAAAAATCTCTGCCTAACATTAGACACACATGTTCTAAATTAAAACAAGAAAATAAACTATATAGTCCAAAAATTTCATTCTGGAAAGGAGTCATTTTTTACTGCTATCTAATACAATCACATCTTTTAAATGCATTTACCAAGCACACAGGTCCAGACAAGTATTTTATGGTCATATGGAAACATCAGGATTCTAGGTTGCAAAAGTTAGGCCAAAGCTCTCTCTTTCACTCACGCACACACACCCCTTTGAAGATCTATCCATCCCATGAACTTTAGTGTTCTCAGCATTTCAGTTTATTTAAAACAGTGGGAGGTCATCTGATAGATGAAGCAGTACATTAATTTCCACCAAATAACTTTTAATAGTTTCCATTCACAACTTAGTTTGGTAAATTCATTTTCCTTTGGCCAATGGAATTCAACAATATTTTTAACCAATAGTGAATTTGGTAAATACACACATTAATCTCCTCACCTATGACCTGCTGGTAAAAGCATAAGCCAACATCTACATCCACACCAAATTTGATTATCCATACTTTTTTTTTTTTAAGCAAGCAATTCAAAGATAATTGAGCTTCACATAATCTGTCTTCAACAAAAGAATTCGGTGATGCTCCTGAACAAGTTGGCTGTGGTCTCTCATCTCAGGAGAGCTGCACCGAGGGGCGAGAAAATAACTGGATCCCAGAGACCAGCAGGACTCAGCAGCACTCCCCACAGTGGGTGCCACATTCCTCCCGTGCTCCTCCCCTCACCCAGAGCAGCAGCTAGGAAAGGGTCATGAAGGGACCCATTGATGGCTCTCTGACACATGGAAAAGCACTCCAGAGCCTCCATTTGAGGAGGGGCCGAGACTTGACTGGCTCTCCAATGATGTCTGATGTATCTTCTGACCTCTTCTATTTATGTGTGTAGTATCGATATATGTACACATCTTGAACAGCACAATGCACACTTATGAAATTACTACATAATACCTTCATGCACAATCTTGTTGTTACATCTTCCTTTTGGAGTTAATGTAAAGATTTTGAAATAATATATGTAACCACAGTATTTAACTATATGGATGTAAAATAAAAAAAAAAAAAAAACAAGCATAAGAAAACATGGACTAACATTCGTCTCTGATGACCTGTAGGACACCCAGGTGTGCAGAAGGCTTCTCAGCATTCACATCTCCCATCCCAGCAAAACTGGTCTACTTACTGTTCTCTAAGATATACCTTATTTTTTTGGTTCAACTACTTCTTATTAGAAGTGTCCTTCCTTTTGTCTTTCAAAACATCCAAAATCAGGCTTAACATCCCCCACTCCTTCCAGGACCCGCTGGTCCACACTGACACACTGCTCTCTATTTCTCTCATGATTCGGGTCTGTGCCAACCTTCTGACAGGTCCTTTTCTGAGCTACTGTTCAATCTACACATTTACATATCATCAGGGTGCTTGGCCAGGGCAGTACCCATCCCATCTTCTCACCTGTGAAGACTATCTACCCACCAACATTTCTCATGTACGAATATTTATACATTTATATTTATTAATTTACTTTCTAGGGCAAGACTGCCACTTAAAGTTATTATCTGCAGCTATGTGTAGCAAGTTTTTCTAGCAAGAACCACTGTGTATAAAATCTCTTATATTTTATGACTATAGAACCCCCAGTGTTGTGTCCTTCAGGGATCTTTTGTGGGGCCAGGCACTCCTCCCCTCCTTGACGAAGGCAATCATCAATTTCACTCTCCCAAGCATCATCATGGAAGGAAAGAAATCAAACCCTGAATCTTCTGAGGATCGACATGATTAGATTCTCCCTGATAAAGTCAGATGATCCCAACAAAAAAATCTACTCATGGGAAGGGATACTCAAGGGTCTCATGGAGGGGATCCCCCACACACACCCTCCTTCATGTAGAGGGGTATCTGCACTAGAGTCTGGGCTCAGTGGGGGGACTGCAGCCATAAGGAGGCCTTGCTGGTCAGCACGTGGCTGAGGTTGGACACCCCCCTGCTCTACATCCTCTTCCGGGGAAGTGGAGCAGATATCAGTTATTCTCCTACATGGTCCTCCTGATGGGACAAGAAGCTCCTGGCAGGGATGTAGAGACAAGACTACATTGTGACTTGGGGCACTTTGTCACGAAGCTGTCCACTGTCCCAGCCACCTGTAGAATATCTGTTTTGGAGCCCTACGACTATACCTTTCAATTTGTATCATGTACATATACATTATTCATATCAATTAATTAACTGATAAAGTGATCTGAGAAGGTCTAAAAGTTGTACGAGCAATAAAAGTTCTGGACAACTGAACATTCTTTAAGTGTTTGGGGAGGAGGAATGTGAGCCCCAGAGGCCTGTGTGAGATGTCTACTGTTTATAGTCTCCTCTTTTTCCTTTTTCCTTTCCTTTCCCTCTCTAATCTCACATCCATTAGAGAGGTCAAAGGGTGGAAAGCAATTGGATTCAAGAGCCTCCTAGGCACTCTGGGTTGTCAGGGCAGGCGACCTCCAGACCTCCATTGTCTATGGTGTTTGGAAAACAATGCCAACAAAGGGCGAGTGTTGCTGCTGAATGCTGGGATGCCTTCATCACTTGCCAAGGCACAGGCTGTCCCAGGCAAACATCCACGCAAACAGAGCCCTCTTTCCAAATCAGCCAGGAAGGGATGGCGCAGACCTCTGACTTTTAGGAAAGTATCAGGCAGTCCGAACCGTAAACCAAAAGACCACGCTTTATGGCAGAGGAGTGCAGGGCGTTGGAGGGAGTTCATGCTTTGAGATGGGTGAGAATTCAGACTCAATCGTGTTTTGTGAGTTTGACTCTTTAACCAAAAGTAACAATAAGGATTAAACTAAATGAAATCACGAATATAATTTAGCACCTATTATAGAGCCCGTCTACTGCTACTGCTGCCAAGTAAATGTGGTAAATATTGTTTTTCAAAGAAGGGAAACTCCAAATGAGAAGGGAAACATGCAAATGAAAAGTGCATTCACCACGGAGTGCCCAGGATGCTGGGCCTGCCTGATGCTGGCGAGCTCTTCCCCGGACCCGCCTGAACTTCCTAAAACTCTGTCTCCTTACAATGTCTCACACTGTCAATAAAAGTGAAGAGGTGACCTGAGTTCAGTAGTATATTATTCATATCACTCAGATGTTCTGCTTTCTCTTTCGGATTTAGGAAGCACAGTTTACAGGTGCCCTTAAGTGACCATCTGGATAAAATGTCCATAACACTTAGAAATCTGGGAAGCAGAGTTCACTGTTTAAATAACTTATTACCAGTCATGTAGGAAGCTGATATTTTTAAACTTCCCTTAAACCAAACAGCAGCTTTCAAACAGAAGACAAGGGGTTGCACTGGGATCTTCTGAGGATCACAGAATATAACTGAGAATCCTTGCTTAGCTGTTTTGGGTCTCAAGTCAAGGTGATACTGTCCTTACCTGTTTGTCACTGATCTAATCCATCTTAAGGAGATGGACCTGCAGGCTATTAAGCAAACCTTTGGTCAGGTCAACTTTCACTAAGTTTTAATTGCCTCCGCGTTACATTACCATAGAGAAGATAATCAGATGGATTCAATGATTCAAAAAGAAAGCCTACCTTTGTCTGCCTACATCCCACTTTTGAATCCCTGTCTTAAGTATAAAGGTGCTTTCATTTCCTTTAGTAGCTTCCTTTTCATAGTATTTGTAGCAAAATTTAACCCACATTTCATTGGCAAAACCAAAAATGTACAATAAGCAAATTCTGGTCAAAATATAATTTGAAGAGAAATATTATAATGTGTCACTTCAGAAACCTGAGACTATTTTTTTTTTGCCTTTTCCACTATCATCTATGTAGCATATTACTCAAATGTCCACTATTTCATAACTATTTTGGAAACCACATGGCTTTGAGGCTCTGAATTATTGGGCCTCTGACATCAAAATATCCACTAACAGCTATGGCATTCTTCTTTCCTAGTGACAAGAAAGTAATTTATGTTGACTGAAAAATAAAAACCACACACACACACACCAACAAGGAGAAAATAACTGAAGTCACATCCGACTACTACAAAGGGATAGTGAGTATTTAACAATTTGAGATACATCTTTCAGTATTATTCCCTTGCATTCGATTCTACACATACACCTCAATGAAATTAGGACCAACACTTATGGCCTTCAGCACCTTTGTTTCCATCAAGTAAGTTTGCCCATGTCATCATATTTCTAAAGAGATTTTTATTGACCACATAATCATCTCCTTCTACAGACGTATTTCAGATGACTTAATGAATCACTCTGATTAGACACTGCTAGTTAGTGCTACCATTTCTTCCTTTGTGACCTTGAGCAAATTACTTAACCCCTGTTTCTTAGTTTCACAACTTGTTACATATGGATAACAATTTACCTACACCTCACAGAACTATTGTGAAAATTAGATAAGAATAAGCATGAAAGCTAACAGTGCCTGGTGCATGTTAGCTAACTCTACATGGTTGGCCTGGTACCTAACATATATTAGCTGCCCCTATATGTACTGTGAGAAATATTCTTGTGCATACTCTTGGTGTATATCCGTATTTTTTTTCTCAGGATAAAAGTCCTAGAAGTGGAATTGCAAATCAAATGGTATGCACACTTTTAAAGTTTTTAATAATAATATCACATTCCCCACCGAAGAAGCCATAATAATTTATACTTTCAAAATAATATGCACTTTACTGTAGCCTTAATTATTTTTTTTAATACTGAAAATATGATAGGTCAAAATATTTCCATTAACGTTTCTGTGGATACTAATGGGTCTACATTTTTTTTATATTTATAGCCATTTCCATTTTTTCTTCTATGAATCGCTTACTGATTCTTGTGAAGGGGAGGACTTTTTGCTTTAATTTTTGTCTACTTTCCATAGTGGAAAGATCTTTTTCTCAATGATATAAAAAATTTTCTAGTAAAGTAAGGAGAGACCTTGTTCATCTGTAATATTGTAACTGTCCCCCTGCCTCCAGGCTGTCTGTACCTTCTTAAAAATCAGAAATCTAATTTTTGCATAGGCAAAATCCATCAACTATTTCTTTTATGATTTATTTCCTCTTTAAGTTTAGGAATGCTTTCTCTATTTTGAAATCCAATGGTCAATTATATTTTATTCTAGTATTTTTCAGGTTTGATAGTATCTTTTATTTATCAATAAGTCATTCAGAATATGATGGGAACATTCTAAATTATTCACTGAAATAACTTTAAATTGTAATAATAATAATACCTGTATACCACAGACATTTCTGAATATCACAGTAACATTTATAGGTAATTAAGGCTCTGTCCAACAATCTGCAAATCCTACCTGAGAAGGTAGGAGAGGTATGATGTATTTTTAGGGTCACGACTATTTTGACCGAATCCAGACAAAAGACTGGGGTCTAAACTTGGAAATGTGCTCAGTCTCTTCCAGCCAGAAACTCTTCATGGACTAGGCTATTTAAAGTGGAGATTTGTTTGGGGAATATTATGAAATTGCTGGCTGTCCTTATCATACCCATGATCACACATCCACCAACTCCCTGTCAGATAACAGCCTCTCCTCCTTCGTTCCTCCCTCTACCAAAAATATGAGTTTTAGGGAACCTCCTATTCCCAGAAGCATACATACTTAAGCAACAGGATGAGAAATGAAATATACAAGCAAGTTGCTGAAAAATCAGAAGCATGCCACATGTAGCAAATCAAGCAAATCTAGCCTTTCCATTAGAAATGGAATCGTGCCAATAACCAGGATTTAGTGAAGACATATGGGCCGCCAAGTTATGCCTCTGAGAGTGTCTGAAGAACTTAAAATGTAATTCACAGAAAAGCATTCGCTTATGAGAAAATAATCTGGACAAATCTGACATAACAAAGTTCCAGGCCATGCAGTCATTTAAAAAAAATGAATTTAAAGGAAAATGTCCAATATTTTACAATGAAGTACACACGGAGCAGTCAGCCGATTTGAGTCTTCATGCATTTACAAAGCAAATGGAAGGTAGAGATGCAACTGTGGTCTGAACCATACTTACAGGATAGCAAGTTTACCTGACTTTTCTAAATTTCCAAGCAGCTAACAATTAAGAAAACAAGAGACATTCATTGATTTGCAAATGTTTACTACAAATAACACCACAAAACACAAACAATCTATTACTGGGACCCACACAGTACAAACATTTTCCCCTCAAGCATTTGGAAAAAAAATGCAAATAAATGCTGCTACAGACTAAGAAGCTGTGCTATAAAACTGACAATATGCAATATTATCAAATTGAAAAAAAGACAAAAACTAGGAAGAACTACACAGCACAGCAGGCCAATGGCAATTAACACAACTAAGGCTTTTTGGCATATAAATTGAATTGGTCAGCATTTCTGTTTAGATATGACATGCGTGCAACTTAATTGTTCAAGAGAAAGTAATAAAGGCTTGAAAGGAAAGAATCCAACCAGGCAAGTGCAAGATTTGATCAAATGGTATCAAGTTGGAGACAAAGCGAGTGCACACATGTGGTCACTGGGCATAAGCCTCCCCCCCAACACACACACACACACACACACACACACACACACGCACAAAGTCACAGGGCCTAACACACTCAACGCACAGACTCATGACATGATGGTGCAGCCCAGACCAACATGACGCAGTTCGAGGTCAGGAGGCCCTTGGTGGCTTGGCTGCTCAGCCCCAATGGTCAGAGGCAAGCACTCAGCCATTTCTGCGGGCTACCACGCTGTGACCTGCAGCAGAATTGGAGACACATGCTCAGTGCACCTCTGACTCTGGGGCTGAGTGTATGGGCAGGAGTGAAGGTGTGCTGGGAAGATCCAGTTCCTGATACATTCTCTGCTGTGTCCGGCATCTGAGGAACAGGCACAGACCTCATTCCTGCATCAAACGCTCGACGCCAAAAAACCAATAATAATTTCTCAGAAAATAGATGAAGCTAACTAAAATGCTTTGAAGCTAGAGATACTTTCACTTTTCAAATCATAAAAAGCTGTGTCTGGCAAATGCATGCAGACACACAACATGCACTAGGCATAACTCCCTAAAAGAAGCATGAGTACAAGTTTCATTCTCTTAAAGTGAACAGAGAACTGAGACTAACATGATACTGAGTCCTATAAAAATAAAATTCTAATGCTCTTGTCTAGAATGTGTTCCTTTGAGAGAAAATCAAAAGAAAGGGAGAGGAAAGTGGGAGGTGGCGTGAGACTGGGGATTGACATTATACTGAAAAGTGTTATCTTCGGCATTCACATTGAAATATTCCTAAATACATTAATTTTCTAAAATGCCCAAACTAAAGATAACTTGACCTTTCTTTATCCTGCCACCCCTCAAGGTCACCTAGATGAAAAGGTTGGGCTAAGTCGGTATTAGCTAGGGGCCAAGCTGTTCCCAGCCAGTGAAGAGCCGTGAGCTGTGATCTGGCTGTCGGAGACACATCTTTGCAGCCCAGTTCAAGACCCCTAGCTATGGGAGCCCTAGCGGAAAGCTCCTTGCTGGCCTGTTTCCTCCTCTGTGAAATGAGGAAATCCAATGACCTTCAGGGCGGAGTGAGGACTCAAAAGGTAACACATAAAAGCTCCTAGTCCAGAAGGGGCCTTGAAAAAGAAAGTCATAAATCTTTTCTACCTCTCAGTGCCTGTGTTTACATCTGATCTGTCACCCATGTACTTGTACTATATCCCACTAGAGTACGATTAATGTGCAGAATAATGCTCAGCTCTGTACTCTGGTTTATCAGTTAGAGACTGGAACTACATGTTTTAATTAGCAGAATCCCTTAGCTGTGCCCCAATTAGGCTGAGATGTAGACTTATGAGAGCTGGGAACAGTTTTATTTGGATGCCAGTGTTCAGACTGAGGATATGTCGGAATATGGTCACATTTACAAGGAATGTCCTCGTGCTTCCGTTCAGGGACGCTGGCCATCTAACCCAGGGAGCAGACTGGGACACGTGGGGCAGGGCGTGGAGATGAGGAAAGGAAGGAAGAAATCAGGCTAAGTTCAGACACCCTGAGAAGTATCCCAGGAAAATAAGAGCTCCTCAAGTTCTAGCTGGTTAGATGGCAGCTTTGAAATTATTCCAAGGATGTTGAAAACTGTCAAAACAGAGAAATACAAAGGAAACTGCACCTGGCCGGTGACCACATCACACAATCCCACACCTTGTTATGTGAGGCCCTGACGAAGGGAAAGGGACTCACCAACACTGATGAAGAGGAAAACGGTGGCTTGCGCTTAGTTCTAGGCTCTGTGGTTAATTTAAAAAGTCACGCTCAACACTGCCCATCTCCAATCACATTCCCCTACTTCCTAGTAGAAAAAATAAGCCTTCTTTTAAACAACACACCAGATGCTTGTTTGTCATGCTCTGGGCTTCCTTCTTCTTCTGAGCATTTTCACCTCCCCGGCAGAATGTCACAGCCTCTAAGTCCTCACACTACTCTCCGCAATGGGCAGCGACCGTCCATTTTCTCCTGCCTGAAGCACTCACAAGAAAAAGTCCTGAAAATCCAGCTGTTGCTTCCGATTTGCCTTCCTCTGTGAGGGTGGCTTGAAGAGCTCACTCACTCTGCCCAGGAACAATGTGACATCAAGACCCATTTTTATCATTCCAATGGCTTATGGGGTAGTTTAACTTCACATTAAATTAAATCAAACCCAAAGTCATTCCCTTCCTCTGCCAAACCCCCAAATCACCAGGCTTGTCTATGGTGTCACTGTTCAGTGTTGGCCACGGCCCGAAGCCTCAGTCTCCCTCTTCCACCCGCTCTCTTCAGTGATACTGACAATCACTCTTTGATATAATTCCTCCAACCATCTCAATACTCACAAACAAGAGTTCATGCATTTAAAAAGCACCACATAAGTCTTTTTAAAGTATCTGACATTTTTGATACCGTCTGTGTTACTATAATTTCTTTGTAATTTTTTTTTAAGCACATACCTCTTTTGGTAAAGATACTAATTTATTTCTGTCTGCATTCAAGTTGGTCAACTTCTTAAGTTTTCCAATGCTCCTAGGTAAGGTCTGTTAAAATAACATTTTTATCATTAACACATATTTTAACATGGCACAATAAAACAGAGCTTTTCAAAGACTAAAGGATGTAATCTCATCAAGGGACAGAAGTAAGCATTCTTCCTGAGTATCAAATATTTGAGAAATCACTTGGGGATGTGGTCTTAATATTTTGCATTTTGGTTGGGAAGAAGAAAGCACCTAGTAAAGAGGCAATGAAGGCTCTTCAACTCAAATGAGAATTTAATTATCTTCAAGATTCACCCCTGCCCTGTGCACACCTTCAAGAACCACGCTGATGTGACCGAGTGGCTGTCTACAGAAGCCACAATGCTGGGGCAGGTGACCAGAGTGCTGAGCAAAGGTGCTGTGACCCCAGAAAAGAGAGAAGGCTGTAAGGGCCATTGTGTGGAGCACTGAATCCCACAGGATGATGGGGGGGGGGGGGGGGGCGGTGAGGGGGGATCTCTACAACACTCCAAAGGAATCTGAGGGTAACTGTTATTTTTATTTATTCTTTTAATGTAATTTTTTAAATCATTATGGCCTGGCTGGTGTGGCTCAGGAGTTGAATGTCTACCTAGGAACCAGAAGTCACAGTGTGATTCCCAGTCAGGGCACATGCCCAGGCTGCAGCTCCATCTCCAGTGGGGGGGCGGGGGGGGGGCATGCAGGAGGCAGCCAGTCAATGATTCTCTGATCATTGATGCTTCTATCTCTCTCCCTCCCTCTTCATTCCTCTCTGGATATATATATATATATATATATATATATATATATATTTTTTTTTTTTTTTTTTAAACTGTTATGATTACTATTTGTAAGCCTAAAACCACAAACCAGGGCAGGAAAGGATTGGTCACTCCCCCCACACCTGAGGAGTTGGCTTGCACTGCCTGAGGAGATTCAGCCGCTCTCCCGCTGATTCTGTCTTTGGTCAGCTCTTGTTTTACTTATTGCTCTTTTCACTAAAAGACCATTATTTTCTCTTTTATAGAAGAAGAAAAAGAAGGAGGAGAAGGAAGAGGAGGAGGAGGAGGAGGAGGAGGAGGAGGAGGAGGAGGAGGAGGAGGAGGGAAAAAGACGAATATGGAGAATAAAAAGCAGAGTAAAAAATAAAGTGGCAAAATGAATACAGCAAGAAGAGGAATGTAGGAAAGTAAACTGAAGAAAAAGTGGCTAAAAGTCTATTAAAAAAAGGAGGAAAAGGAGATGAAGTGATAGGTGGAGGACTGATGAAAACAAAGGCAGCAGCAGGAAGTGAGAAGGCAGCTGAGATTTGCTGTCACCCTGCTGACCTGCCCTCACAGGTGGTGCATGCCAAGGCCTGCGCCCAGGTAGGACGGGAATCCTGGTCCTAGTGTGGGATGCCTGCAGTCACCTCCACCCTCTGTTTCTAGGTTGGGGTGAGCTCATGTCAAAGCCCAGCAGTTACCACTCTCTAGCTCCTCCCCAAAAAGCATTCCTCCCCCAGTCCCACCAAGCTTTCCTGGCCAGCCACCATTTCCTGCCCAACTCTCCCCCTCTTCCCTTTTGCTACAGAACCCGGAGAGAACAGTGCTTCCTCTGAGGCCGAGGCCCTTGACCCCCACGGCAGCGGCAGGGGCACATCCACCAGCAGTGCTGTTCCCTGCCCCTCTCTGGTGTCAGTGCAGTCCCTGTAGTGGAGCACCACAGTGGCACACACATCTGACAGGGGGGCGGAAACACCACTTTCCTCACTTACGCAGATTAAAAACCGGTCATCTTCATGTCGTGTGCTTGCTTCTTTACAAGTTCCTTTTTCGTGTGTAACATAAGGAAATTTCCATTTAGTGCACCCAAATTACAAATGAGTAGAATCCACCCTAATTAATTGTACACAAATTAATTTGAATACACAAACCACACTCACCAGGAGTCGGTTTTCTGTGAGAACCAGTTCACTGAGGCTCTCACAGTCCCCAATTGTTTCAGGCAACTGTGTTAGTCTGTTCTGATCCACCTTCAAGATCGACAGCTTCTTTAGTTTTCCTGAAAAATTATTACACTCATTAGTAACAATTGTTTTCCTAATCATCATTTGGCATTTCCTATCTGCTGTTCTTTCTTGTTATGAATAGTTATTCATTTTTCCCTCACCCAGCTTTTCACATTATGAAATTACATCATTCTCATTCAGATCACTAAAGGTTGGGGGTTAAAACAATTTGCTCAGAACATCAAAAAGTCAGCAATTAGAAGCCAATCATTTAAAAAGTCACTACCTAAAAGTATCATATCAAAGCCAGAAAATTTAAAGAAAATTAAACAGCTGGCTCTTAATGGATCTTTTAAAACAGGAGACAGGCTTTTATCTTACTTCAGGAATCCTCCTTCTAAAAACAAAGAACACTACAGAGCAGTTTATTCCATCACTTATGACTGAGTGTAGATCCCTGTATTGTAGTATTTCTATACGTGAAGAATGAGATGGTAACCTTTGAAAAGTGCCGTGAAAGACCGAGTCTATAACAGCTAATCTGTTTACTGCCGCCTCCTCGAGTCCCCACTGAGTGAAGAAAATCCCAATCATTCAGATTCTCATTCTCAACAACAACTCAGAGGACTCAGCCTACACAGCAGATGTCCTCGGCTATCTACTAAGAGTGGCTGGCATGATTAACCTTCCCCCAGGAAAACCAGAAAGCGGCCTCTATCTGAGGAGAGACATAAAGTTGGAGAAAGGGAAATGTCGAAAAACATAAGCTTGCCTTGGGTGGCTCTACTGGGCAACGCAGAACTAACCTCCCTGAGCTCTTTATTTAGCACCGCCAGCCATAATTACCGCTGCCCCAGAGAGTTCCAGGCAACTGGGAACCCTGACCTGTCAAGAGGCAGGCACACTGGCGTTCTCTACAGGGCACATTGTACCCCACACCTGACACAACAGAGGAATCTCCCTAAGAGGTCTTGCAGCTTCCTTTGGAATACATACAGTGACAAGGTGCTCACTTCTTCACTAAGCAGCCCAAACTAATTTGTACAAATATTTCTTTTAAAGCCTTTCTTAAATCAAGTTGAGATTCACGGTCCCTGACTTTTCCCATTTGAACTGGAAGATATAATACATCTCCTCCTCCTCCATGAATGTCTTTCAAATGCTTGAAACTAGCCACCTCATGCCCTGTTTCTTCCTATTACAGACATTAAAACACCGCCAGCTCCTATAACTGCTTTCAGATGCCATATAAGATTCTCCATGACCATTTCTACCTTGAGTCAAAATCCCCAAAGGACAATGTCTTTATTGTGGCTGAGCTGCTGTCACCTTCATCTTGACCAAATCCCAGGAAGGAAGTAGTCCTCTGTCATACAGCTTTTCCAACTACTGAAAGTTTCAGAAAATCCATTCGATATTTTGAATAAAAGTTTAATGAAGGTCAAAGACAGAAATTCTATAACAGCTAAATTGTTAAATGTAGCTTCTTACAATGCTTTGCTACGGTGGGGCTGCTAGTCCATGTCTGTGTGTACCTTCTCTGTTTGCATTATTTTCTCAAACTTAAATGAATTCCTCTATGGCTAAAAAAAAAAAAAAAAAAGTCTGAACTAATTTTTTTTAAAAAAAGAAATAGCACAGAATGGTTAATGTAAAAGAGTATTCTCAATGTATCAGAAAAGGCTCAACTCCACAGCACCATGCCAGCCTGAGCAGCCCTTCCCCAGGTTATGCAATAAATAAGGTCAGAGTTACTTTCTCCTCAGCTATTTAGAATGCTCAATTAGAAATTTCTTTTTTTTTTTTAAATATATTTTATTGATTTTGTACAGAGAGGAAGAGAGAGAGATAGAGAGTTAGAAACATCGATGAGAGAGAGTCATCGATCAGCTGCCTCTTGCACACCCCCTACTGGGGATATGCCTGCAACCAAGGTACATGCCCCTGACCGGAATCGAACCCGGGGACTTTCAGTCCCCAAGCCAACGCTCTATCCATTGAGCCAAACCGGTTTCAGCTCAATTAGAAATTTCTTAATGAAGGCTCACATGCCTGAAACACATTCAGTAGGCTAATTCCTACTGAAGTCATTGAGAAAGGTATGGATAAGTAAATACGAGTCAACAATTTTAAGTACTAATACCTATAATTGCTACCAGTATTATGAAGGAAATACTTTCATATAAAAACTTAAATTGTATTATTTTTGCATTCCTTCTTAAAAACCAAACAAGGAAACTAAAGGAACCACATTCGCAGCTCCTGACTGTGGTGATCAAAGGATCAGAGAGTTCTCCAAATGCCCAAACAAGCCAGCGCCTTTAGGACTTAGTTAATTCCAATACGTACCAATGCCATCCGGAATCGTTTCTAGTAAGTTCTGGGAAATAACTAAATCTGTTAATGAAGTCAGGCCACTGATTTCTTCAGGAAGTCTTTCCAACCTGTTTTCAGAGACATCTAAGCACAGCAGGTTCTTCAGATTTCCTATTTCCTACATCGGTGACACAGAAAAAGAAACTCATGCTTAAACCTGCCGTAGCACAGAGAAATTTCTTACAGTGATATTTTGCAACCAGAGCCCAGAGTAGTCCTAAGGATGTTTCTTCAGAGTCTATCTAGATGTGAAGGCTGGAGTAAGTTTCCAGACCCCCTTCCAATGAAAACGGGAAGCTGCCTGAATCAGTCACAGAGCTGGGAGAGATGCCAAGTCCTCCAACTTCAGGCAGGCAAGGAACAGTCCCTTAACAGATGAAGAGATTGGCACCCAGAGAGAATAAACAACTTTAAGGTCACAAAACCAGGGAGGAAAAAGAGGCTGGAATCCAGTTCTCCAAGTTTGGAAGCAATCAAGGGGCCCCTGAGGTTGTCTCTGTTAAGAAACTATCTAATTTTTGTCTCCCATGACAGGTAGAACTTGTTACAACAAACATCAATGCAGCTGCATCCCAGAAAAACTGGAGCATACAGGCCCACTGACACATTTAACATCAACGGAAGAAAGAACTCTACCCAGGAGTAGGACAAGGACCTGGATGAGTCTAACAGTCTATTCCAGAGTGACCTTCCCTTCCATTCACAAAGGTCTATGCTTTCTCTTATAACTGCTTCCACTTTTCCATTCCACTGCCCTCTGCCCCGAACTGCTGGCTCTGCCTCTTGGCCTCTCTCTACCCAAGTTTGTTCTATAATCTGGCTCCCATATTTTTCCCTCCTGGAAACATAGCTAGCTTTGGTCACATAATCAGACCACCCATCTACTTAAAAAAGTCTAGTGGATTCCCAATGTCTGCAGAAGTACAAACTCCTCAATCTGTATTTAATTTGGTCTAACCTATTCTTTCCATTTTATCTCCTACCAATATGCATCCTATGACCTGCCCCTGCATTTCCTGTCTATAGGAAAGCAGACTACATGTCTATTAATTTCACACCAGATCTCTGAAGTTGTTTTGCTTTTTCACTAATTCCTTTTCTTTCTGTCATCGATGGAGACAAAAATAATTCTATTTGAAACTGTCTGGTGTTTTAGTACTGATTTAACAGAAGCTTATACAAGAAAGGCAACTGAGATGTTTAAATAACCATTTATAACACAATCACTGGTATTTTAATTTCTTGATGTTTAGGATGTGGCACTTTGCATATAATCACTTATGCACATTTGCACACACATATACTCTTCCCCCCTCATGTCTAATAGCTGATATTTTATTACTTCCCTGATAACTTCCTGGTATTTCCCCTCTCTATCCTTTGACTCCTAAAATAACTAGAATTCTCTCAATCAGGATTTCTCACATTTTTCTAGAGAAATCTAAGTATTAAACCCTCACAACACCAATTGCTAATCAGTCCTATCCTTTGCCCAAACGCAGCCAAGACCTCAGAAATAGACTCAAATTAGTTCCTGCTTCCACTAGCTCTATGTGATATCATGGAAATTCCAGGGCTACCACTACAACAGGTACATTTTCACTCTGGTCCTTCTCTCTAGTGTCAAGACTCCCTGGGTCGAGATGGCATTCCCCTCCTGAAGTACACAGCCCACCACACTGGAGCTCACTGCTGGGCAGAGACAGATGAGAATCACTGTCAAATACAAGCACCTCCCCATCATGAAGTAAACCCTGACTTTAAGAATGGCTGGAATATGCACCAGAGGATAAAATTCAGTAATAGCTGGAGGAGGGAAAATAAGAGGAAAATGCCCATTTTTGAAATAAAAACTTTTAATATTGCTTTCACACCATTTACAGGGCAAAATGTGGTCAAAATTATGCCCAAAAGGCACATGACAAAGAGTGTGAAATGTATAGCATCAGAATCAGGGGTCCCGATAATTCACAAATTTGCTGGGCTAGAAGTAAACCATGTGGGTAGCAAGGATTAAGACTTCACACACTAAAAGACACAGTTTCTATCTTTAGAAATAGTGGATTGGGGCTCTCAGTTTTTCTCTGGCAATACAGCATAATGAATGCTCTTTATATATTTCTCCAAATATGCTCTTTCAACCAAAGTTTTTGGTTTTCAAGATCCCTTTTACAGCACTGCCAGCATGGCTCAGTGGTTGAATGTCAACCTATGAACCAGGAGGTCATGGTTTGATTCTCGTTCGGGGCACATGCCCGGATTGTGGACTCGATCCCTAAATAGGGGGGTGCAGAAGGCAGCTGATCAATGACACTTCTCTCATCACTGATGTTTCTCTTTCTCTCTCTCTCTTCCTCTCTGAAATCAATAAAGATATATATATATAGATAGATATAGATATAGATATAGATATAGATATAGATATAGATATATACTAATAAAAGGGTAATATGCTAATTAATTAGACAGGAGACCAGCCAGGGAGGGCAGTTGGAGGCTATGAGGCCAGCTGAGGAGAGATGTTGGGGGCCATAAAGCGAGCAGGGGAGAGCAGTTGGGGGCCATGAGGCCGGCAGGGGAGGGCAGTTGGGGGCAATCAGGACAGTGGGGGGGGGGGGGCGGGGAGTTTGGGGCAAGCAGACTGGCAGGCAGAGTGGTTTGAGAGGTTAGGAGCCACCGGTCCCAGATTGCAAAAGGGATGTCCGACTGCTGGTTTAGACTCGATCCCGATCTCGGGGGTTTGGCCTAAACCAGCAGTCAGACATCCCCCAAGGTGTCCCAGATTGGAGAGGGTGCAGGTAGGGCTGAGGGACACCCCACCCCCACGCCCCGTGAATGAATTTTGTGCACAGGGCCACTAGTATATATATTTTTTTAAATCCCTTTTATAGAAAATCTCATGTAGAAGCAGGGAAGATATGAGAATGGTGGTGGCTACTGGTTTATGTTTTGGGGAAGAATATGTGAAATTACCACTTACCTGAGGTAATTCTGACAATTGATTTCCATCCAACCAAAGATCCTTTAGATGTAAGAGAGCTCCAATTGATTCTGGCTAAAACAAAAAGAATAATGTTATGGTAACAAAAATCCAACTTTGTCATCCATTAAAAAAAGAAAAAATCCTATTTCCAACAGTTAATGATGGGGTACCACAGAGGATGTCTGCTGGTATTTCTCTAATATCAAGCACCCTTCATAAGAGCACCCCCAACACTCAACAATGCCAGTCATGTCCATGTTATGCCCATCATCTCTGTTCCTAACACTCCCTGCCTCCCAATAATAACTCTTTCAATACATATTAGAGGCCCAGTGCATGAAATTCATTCACAGGGTGGGGAGGGTCACCTCAGCCCAGCCTGCACACCCTCCAATCCAGGACCCCTCAGACATCCCTCTCCCAATCTGGGACCACTGGCTCCTAACTACTCACCTGCCTGCCTGCCTGATTGCCCCTAATTGCACCCCATGCTGGCCTGGTCACTCCCAACTGCCCCCCTTGCCAGCCTGGTCACTCCACATAGCCTGCTGCTCAATCGTTTGGTCACCCCTCAATAACGCCCCTACCAGCATGGTTGTCCCACGCAGCCCACTGCTCAGTTGTTTAGCTGGCCCTCACTAACCCCCTGCCAGCCTGGTTACTTCATGCAGCCTGCTGCTCAGTCATTTGGTCATCCCTCACTAACCCCCCTGCCTGCCTGGTGGCCCCACGCAGCTTATTCAGTTGTCCATTCAGTTGTTTCAGTTGTGACGGTTGCTTAGGCTTTTATATAGATAAATATTTTTATTGATTTGAGAGAGAGAGGGAGAGAGAGAGAGAGAGAGAGAGCAACAGAAACATCAATGATGAGAGAGAAACATTGACTAGCCACCTCTTGCACACCCTCTACCAGGGATCAAACTTGCAACCTGGTCATGTGCCCTGACTGGGAAACAAACTATGACTCTGGTTCATGGACTGATACTCAACCACTGAGCTACACGGCCAGGGCACAAATCACAATTCTTAACCCACGTGAACTGTTAACATATGTTCTTTTATGTTGCCAAGCTAACCATTTGGAAATACTGGTTTATAAACATCCCTACAGATCTCTCTCAAAATTTGTGTTCATAAGTAAGGAAAAAGTTAAATACAAAGCACAATACAGACTTACCAAATTGTATATTTCATTGTTTCCTAAATCAAGTTCTTCTAGTCTTCGTAGCTGAGTCAGAGAGCTATTAAAAAAAAAAAAATTTCTTAGATAATACTTAGAAATGCCAAACAATATGGCATTTCCTCACTTAAAACTAGTTACCAAAAACAAGATTATTTGGACTTTATTAATATTGCACAGGAAGGATCATTAAAAGAAAGCTGGTATCTCCCAAACTTTCCATAAGATACAGAATCTCTTTTTGACAAAATACTACAGTACTATTTTTTTAATGTTTGAAGAAATTCATTCAGTACAATACAAAATCCCTCTTATTTTCCCCAGAGACTCACTCAGGAAGATATGTAAGAAGATTCTCTCTCAGTTCCAGTGAAGCCAGGTTATAGAGACTAGAAATGAAAAGAAGAAAAAAAAAGTATAAGAAAAATTCCTGGATTCTCCCCCTCCCCATACATACTCCATAAGGAACAACTCTTAATGAAACCTGAACATTATGTTCCAGGGGAAAACCATCGCCACCACCCCTATTAAAAACAACAACTCCTCTACCTCCCACATTTTAATTTTAAGAGAAAATGAGTAGTATCATCACTATAAGGCACCCTCATTCAAATTTCTTGTCTATTTAATATGTGCAAGTAACTCACTAGCAATCATTGAAAGACACCATGCCTGGGACCAAGACAGAAGCAGGATATGCTCTCCTAGACTCCAGAATGTCAAAAAATGTGCTGTTACCATAAAAACAGTAATCTCATGGAGCTCAGAGCTCTTCTCCCAAACATCAGCAAGAAACCACCTCTGTTTGACAGTAGTGGGCACTCAGTCTAAAGAGCCCAAATGCTCTACTTAATTAAGATCATAAACTAGGAGCAAGTGGTTGGAGCTCCATGGAAATAAGTGATTTAAATGTATTAGGGATAATGTAATAGCACAGCTCACATGGTGCCTGGAACACAAGTCTGGCTCAGTAAATGCAGCTATAATAATGTTTCTTTTATTTCTATGAAACCCCAGAATGGTCCTCTTTTCAGCAGAGTCTGCTGCCTTGTGCATAATAGGAGCACCATAAAAGGAGACAGGTGTTCTCCCCAGACACTGATTGGTGGCAGTTCTGCATCACCAGCAACCTCCACAACCAAGTGATGTTAGCACTCACACAACAAATTGACTCAGAGGATGACTGATTTGCCTGTTACTCCAACAGGCACTGTACTAAGCTCTATACCAATTGAAAGCTCAAGTTTCTGCTACTATCACCATAGTAACGTCCAGATTTGGAGAATTTTTATGTGTGAGCACACAGACATTATCCCAACACTCTAATCTGCCTTAATCCTCTATTCTCCTTCCAATATACAAGCCGGAATCATAGGTACAAACAAAACTGGTTTCATAACACTGGAAAATGTAAACGTGATTTGTATGAATAGCATATTTACATACTTAAAGCCTATTTGCTTGAAAATATATTTTAATCATACAATGACATGCATAAATTCTGTATCACCTTCTCCAATTATAGAAACTGAATAATAGTTTCCACAATTAAAACAAGAGCAAACAAAGAAAACACTTTAGAATGCATTATTTTTGAAAAATAAAAATCCCTGATAGCAAGTAATTATGAATTTAATAACATCCTCCAAATAAAATGCAAACAGGTGGGAAGCTGGAGCTGAATGGCTCCACTTTCTTTGGGCCATGTGTTCACACAGAAGAAATAACAATGGGAAGGAGAGAGTGGTGAGGGCCCCACCCAGTATCTACTTCCAAAAGCAATCAGAAGATAAGGGTGATAAGTAAGATTTTATTTTTTTTATTTTTTAAATATATTTTATTGATTTTTTACAGAGAGGAAGGGAGAGAGAGAGCTAGAAATGTCGATGAGAGAGCAACATCGACCAGCTGCCTCCTGCACACCCCCTACTGGGGATATGCCTGCAATCAAGGTACATGCCCTTGACCGGAATCAAACCCAGGACCTTTCAGTCCGCAGACTGATGCTCTACCACTGAGCCAAACTGGTTTTGGCGTAAGATTTTAAAAGTCGTTGCAAAAGTAAAAATTTCAAAAGAAAGAGCTTTGTTTTCAGTTTTAAATTTTCAATTTTATTGGGGAGGTAGTAATCATTTGGCTAATTTCACATTTATATTTTAAAAATCACTACTAGAGCTGTCATTTCATATATCCATTACTTTCATGCCTAGCATTTTGACACTAAAGGCATCCTCACTAAGTATAAGGAGGGAAAGAAGTCCTTTGCTTTAAAAACTTTCCGAAGGACTTGTATACATGCATATAAGTACAACCAATGGACACAAAACTCTGGGATAGGAGGGTATGTATGGGGGGGGGGGGGGGGCAATGTTAAAATATGTACACAGATAATAATTTAATAAAAAAATAAAAAAAAACTTTCCTCATTGGGCATCAGCAAAAGCTTGTTAAAGGCAGTTTGACAGTCCTCGGTGCCTGAGTGTGCTGCTTACCCAGGTCTGCAGGCTTCACTGAGGCTTTTCCTTCCTGAAACACAGGGACGGGGGCTGGGGAGACACCTGCCCAGGGCATATGGCAGGAGGTGCCTAGCAGGGCTCCTCACCAAGCTCATCTCTTAATTAACAACAATCAGGAATGTGAGGCTTAGTGTGAGGTCCAGGAGAAAGTGGCAGGGCCACAATTCAAGTCTGGCTGAAAGCCAGCACAGCAGGCCTCCCGCCTCCCTGCCCCAGGCATTCTCTGGAACTTTCTGGTTATCATTTAAGTTTTAAAAACATCTGCCAATTTTGGATGAATATGTCTTACCTTCTTAACCACAGCAAGGACACTGAGATTTTTGTTGGTTTACATGTCCTTTTAAAAATATAATACACGGTTTTTAATTATCTTTAAATTTTGTCTTGAAAGTAAAAGGTATAGTCCGCCACGGTTACTAAAGAAATAATGCTTGAGCAAAAATATTGCAAAGACTTGCAGACATATACAACTTCATAATGTCCTATTATTATAGATTAAATGCATAGTTCCCACTTCTATCATCTTAACATCCAAATATAATATCCTCTTAAGTAAAAAAGGGTCTATCTCAAAAGTTCTATTGTTTTTGGATAGTGAGGAAAAGATGACCCTCCAGATGTTACAACAATAAATATATTTTTGTAACCTTTCTAAATTCAAAACTGAACTTATAGTAAATAAAATAGTAGTCTTTCTGAGATAATACTTCAGCCTTATTTTAAACTATCTAAAATGAAGAACTCAAACATGATCATCGGACTCCATTGGGCCCATGGATGAAAGAGTACCTCTGAAAAGAGAGGCTGAGGCCCGGTCCCATCCTGGCCTGTCCCTCACTAACCGGCTGCGGTGCTTCACCACTGTATCTCAATTCCCCCTAAAAGAAATGCAATCACACCTACTATGGCAAGTTGAGCATAAATATATACCCTTCAACTTTATAGAACCAGCTTTGTGCCTTATTTCCTTGAGACAGCTCTGCTCCTAAGCACAGCCCAGTACCTTACAAGTGCACATACTCTGAGTTGGAGTCTTCTGAAAGATTGCTCAAAGATGCTATTAACCACAGGAGTCATCCCCACTACAGAAAACTCCTCCAACAACAGGCCCTACAGATAGTGAGCTGTGGCACCGGCCATCTTTTAATTAAATCATGCAATGCCCATAACTGATGATCAATAGAAGAGTCAAGAAATAGCTAAAAATAAATAAATAAATAAATAAATAAATAAATAAACAAATAAACAAACAAACAAACACCACACCCAGTTTTGACTAGACTCCCACTTCCCATATGAGCCCAACATCAGGTATAATCTAGACTAGTCATTCTGAGTTCAAAGAATCATTAACTGATTCTAGAATGAAAACACAGGTTTGGTGCTCATCAGTTCTTGCTTAGGCTACCGGCCTACTCCAGAACGTGGTTCTCCAAACTATTCTGGCAACAGCTGATGTGAAACAGGATCTGCCTGAATGCATGTTTAGACCAGAAACATTACTTGAAAATGAATGATCTCCCTTCCTAGTCTTTGTTTAAAATATAGTTTTATTTATTTCAGAGAGGAAGAAAGAGAGATTGAAACATCAATGGTGAGAATCATTGATCAGTTGCCTCTTGCACTCCCCTTACTAGGATCGAGCCTGCAACCCAAGCATCTGTGAGAATTGAACTATGACTTCCTGGTTCATAGGTCAGCACTCAACCACTGAGCCACACCTGCAGGCCCTTTCTAGTCTTTCAGAATACAGCATCTTCAACTGAGACTTTGGGACAGTGCCCTCCCCATCAAAGCAACCAATTCAAATGTCTTTGTATCTCTTACATCACCTAAAAAATAAAAAAAGAATTCAGTGCTGAGAAATGTTGAATTTGAGCCCAATTCTGTGTGCTTCACAGGCCAAGCTCTTAATCACTAGGCCAAGAAAAACAAGGAACCAGAACTCCACATGCATTTATCAGCCTCTTCAGCTACAATATGACATCACAGGGACAAAAGGAAAGTGTCAGGTATTTCTAACACTTTTACAAATGTGACAAATATTAGACACTTGAGATATAATATGAAATTACTGAGCTTTAGTATCCCTAGTAATAGTGATATCAGCAGCTTACAATATGACACATTTTGTTATAAGTGCTTTACAAGAATGAACTTTATGGATGAGAAAACTATACACAGAGAAGGAACTTGAACAACTGTAAGTGGCAAAGCCAGCACTAACTAAGGAATCTGCACTTTTTTATATATATATATTTTCATTGATTTTACACAGAGAGGAATTGAGAGGGTCAGAGAGTTAGAAACGTCAATGAGAGAGAAACATCGACCAGTTGCCTCTTGCACACCCCCCACTGGGGATGTGCCCGCAACCAAGGTACATGCCCTTGACCGGAATCGAATATGGGACCTTTCAGTCCACAGGCCGACGCTCTATCCACTGAGCCAAACCGGTCCTGGCGGAAATCTGCACTTTTAACCACTATCTTCTGCAATTTCTTTCTTGAGTTAAGTCAACTTTGTGAATAGGCAATACATTAATATATATAAAAGCAAAGTATACAGTGTTGGTTTTTCTCCCATCTTTGCCTCCATCTATCTGGTTTCCCACCACAGAGACCCTTCTCATGGGAAATCACCTTTTCTGTTAGTTGTTTCTGCATTAGGCAGACAATCAGGTATAGATAGTCTTAACCTCCTCCTTTTCACATGGAAGGTAGCATCCTATACACATCTGACACTGTTTTCCTCAATGAATAAATTTTTGTCTCACTTCTCACCTACACAGTATATATTTTCACTGCCTACTCAGACCTTAATATTTTCAAACATTCCCGTTACAGCTATTTTACCCTTCAATTTTAATTTCT